TTCCATGACTATCCTAAATTAACCTCTACTGAATTAAATTGAAGCTGGTTTCTCCCGCGGAAGTAAATGAAACGCGAGAGAGAGAAGCTGTTTTACAATTCGTTAAAATGTCAAAAGTGCAGGACTAGATTGTTTTTATTAATGAATATTTTTGATTCACTGAAAAACTAGTGTTTTTTTATATTAATTATTATTTTATTTAGCATGATCGTAGTACAAGAAGATTTAATAGAATGTTCCAACGAAAGTCAGAGGAGTAAAAAAAGAATATATTTATTCCAGGATTTATTTGGTATGATGTTTGGTCAAACATGCCAAAGCTCCAAAGCCACGCTCAATGTAAATCTCCGACCGCTAGCAAAGACTCGCGAGAAACACTCCGAGATCCAACTGTGGAAATGACACCGCGTTGAATTCTTTCTTGGAAATCGTGCTCCTGAATATATATTTCCCTTCTATATTTTTGCTCTCTCTGCCGGAGCCCTTTTTCGATGGAGAACACACTCGAATCCTCTGGCGCCGCAGCGACGGGGGCAACAGCAGCATCGATTTCTCGAACCTTGCCCGATAGCCGATCGCCTGATGGCCAGTTACACGGCGAGCACTTGGGGGCCGACGGTAGGCCGTTCTGGCCAGGGGTTGCAGTTCGGGCGCCCCGGAGCGCAATCTGCGGGCCTTGGTATGAGCTCGCTCTTTCGAAAGTTTACGGGCGCAGACTTTTCCAGGAACATTGGCAATGGGTTTGGCAGGGCCGCCCCCCCCTCTCGGTGGCAAGGTCGCGACCCGAGGACGTAAATAACACCCCCTCCGACCTTGCTTCGCGTGGATGGGCGCAGCCCGACGTTCTAAGAGCTTCTAGGGAGCGAAAGAAAAGTGCGCGCCGGGGTAGCCCCACGGAGGGATTTGGAGTCAGATAGGCAGAAAGCCGTGCAGAGGATTTACCTTAAAAGAAAGGATCCGAGTAAATGTCGAAATATGGTACGATTATCGCATTAGATGTGTAGATCACATGATGTAATTTGTCGTAAATAATGTCATAATTTTGGTTAAATTTCTGTTCAAAATGTCATAAAAAATATTATGCAGGTCTTGCATACCCATAATTTCATCTTCATTATGATTTTCTCTTATTTTTCTCTTGACACGTAGAGAAATGATGAGATGTCCTCTTGTTTTGCTTCTGACCATTTATGTAGCTCTTCTTGGAAATGATTTTCTCATTCTCTTTGTTTCTTTTTCTCATAAAGAAATAAATGAATCGAATGCCATTGGTACTAAAAAATGCAGAGGATTATTCCCCATGTATTTTGGCCAGCATATCAAGTATCCCTAAAATGAAAGCAACTTACTACGAGTTACCAGGAAATTACATAAAAGCGCTCACTTTCGCCGTTTCTATGAAAGACATGCCGGAGATTTTATACTACGTATTACTTTACGGTCTGGAAAACAATATTGCAAAATAAGTGTTTGTGTTCTTATAGATACACGTTCAGTATAAATAATTTATATAAACTGCTTTCAGTTGCTTATGTCTTTAGAGGTTACTGTTTTTTTTTTACCATTAGGTGACTTTTGACTCGACCTTTTGCGGTAATTTCTAAGTAGATCTGAAAGTGGACGTATCTATATCTACAAATGTTTGAGGATCAGGGAAAACTCTCCTACTTTTTACGTCATTTTATGTTCGGAAATAGATATTTCTACTCTTTCAAGAACGGACGATACGCCGGTGTTTTTTTTTTTGCTTAATTACAGACTAATTTTTGTTAACTCCGTGTTTACTTACTTTGCCTCACGTTATGTAAATAGTTCTACAAATTTACATCGTTTGATGAGTTTGTGCTCACAAATCTCTTAAATAATAAAATATACGTGTAATGTAAATATTAACACACGCAAGATATTAAAAAAATACATCTGCAGAATTTTTGAAAATCAAACCTTTTAATCAAAGTTTCATTTATTTAAAATAAAAAAGTTAAAAACTCTATGTCACGTACTAAGGAGAAGTGCAATCAGTGCATGCTTCCATGAGACTTTGAAATGACTATTCTAGCGCTCTTACTATATTAAGTGTTTAGGCGACGATGGTGTGACGGTTAGCGTACCGGACTGTTATACCCAAGCTTGCGGGTTCAAACCCGATCGAAGCCGTGGATTTTTAGGGCGACAAAATCCTTCGTACGCCTTCCTTCGGAGGGGAAGTAAAGCCGGCTGTCTCATGTTCGTAGATTTACTTGCATGTAAAAGATCCTCAAGCCTAAATGACGCCTCTGAGCTAAATTCAAAATCACCTATTTCTCGCCCAAGAAATACCTCCTTTCTCTGCTAGATGAAAGGAGCGTAGCGAAATTTGCGTGGTCAGACGGAAGAGCGGGCCTGGTGGCCCGAGTCTCGCCACGTAAAATAAGGCAAATTCAATTCAAAAAAAGTGTAACCAGCATTTGTGACTAAAATTGGTAGAAAATATCCTCTCCCTTACCCGTGTAATAAAAACAAATTGTAAATGCAAATAAGATACAGAACTTGGCTATTATATGTTATCATGCACATGACGAAATCGCCTTTCTGCTGTGAGTATATGGAGTATGAATATTGGAATAATTACATTACCCACTAAGCTGAAGAAAAGGTGTAAAAATAGTGAAGATACATTTGTGTCAAGAAGCAAAACAAGGGACCATCTCAGCATTTGCTCGAAGAATCAGGGAAACTGGACAAAAAACGTCATGGAGACGGGATCCAGAAGCTGAAGTAGGTTCTTTGTTAGAGACATATTTAGTCTTCAACAAGACAAAATTATACAGTCCAATTTTTCAAATGATTACTAAATCATTAAATATCAATGTTAAAACAATACTATTTTCGTTTTAGATGCTCAGTATAGTTTCTAATTGAAGAAACAGTTTCTCAAAAGAAAAAAAAAGGATTTAAAGTTTTTTTGAAAAACAATTGTCTTCGAGAAAATTGAGTTTAAATGTTACTTGATAGTCCTCTACAATTTGAGGTAAAATGATAATTTCATGCAATTTGTATCCTTAATATCACGACACAAGCTATAATAGTAATATGAGACTAAAATGTTTATTTAAATATTGCATTTATAGATTATTTTTGGGCGAGGTATTTAAGTGTCCAGTTCATTCATTTATTCCTTCATTCATTCCTTCATATGTACAAGTTACGGCTAAAGGTGCAAGTACGAGTATAGGAATCATAATGAAAGAGTGAAGAAATGCCTAACTCGCCATAAGGTCAGTGGGGCAGTTGTCAATGCTATTGTGAACTACTTTGCGCGTATTGAAAATAAAAATTCATTTCGTTTTCTTTCTTTAACGTAAAAATAAAGTTAACACCTGTGACGTATGAAGGAGAATCTTTCCACGTTGTCTTTATCTCACGAAGCACTGCACCGTTGAGTTTTGAACAAACTTTCACAACAAGAAACATATTAGTACACCTTTATTTATTTCCAGAAGCAGAGAGGCCGTCAGTTTGATCAGTGAATCGAGGAAAGCTACGAGAAATATGATCATTTGAATGTTCATTCTAAGAGATGTTCATGTTCTCTATGTTACTACAAATGTACAGCAGCTGTAGAGGTACTTCAAATCTTGTGTGAATGTTAGAGCCTTACATACGATGTGGCAAAGTGATACAGTTTTATATCGTTATATATATTTTTTGTAAGGTGTGTATATCTGTTCTACCCTACGGCTCGACAGCCCGCTTCGGGCAGTGGCCGACCAGCGGTGACCCAGGCTCTCGGTCATGGGATAACTGGCTCGTGTGGTCAGACATCATTTCACCATGTATTCTGGTTGTTATAACCTTAGGGTGGGTTTTGCAATTGTCACACAGCAATAGATATTGGGATATTTGAAAGGAAAGCGCGCAGTTATTATTTTTGCTCGTCCGGGAATCGAACCCGGGCAAACTAACAAATTAGAACCAGATCTAGCTTAATATCCTAAACGCTAAAATTATATATAATACAAGTATCAGAAAACACAGCGTCGATAAGAACGAGCATCGATAAACAATAATCTGAGGAATACGTCCAGGGGCTGGCGCTGTTGGGAAACAGAGGCGTCAGAGAGACGACGACGCATTCAGCATTCACATTGGAAGGGTTTGAAAAGTTACGACCTGTACATTCGTGAACACCAGTGACAACGGCCACCCTCCCTGCAGGCCGCGCACTTTTACGACCCATCAGCTGCCATTCGCCGAACACGGCACTCGGACGGCGCGCGGGTGCCGCGGCGTTCCCTGCAAACACCAGAGGCGAAGCCTCGAGCGGGTTGTCCTTTAATGTGTGTGCCGACGAATACTCAGGCTCATTGGGAGGAAGTTACCTCGACGTTACGACTGACTAACCTCTTAAAAAGGTTTTAAGAACACCATGTTTTCTGTGTATTTCAAAAATGTTTTAAAATAACCGCAATGACTACAATATATCGACAAATTTTGTTAAACTAATCAAACCATATGCTTTGATTCAGTATCATTTTATTTTTCTCCTGATTGAAATATTTCCACACCAGAAATAATAATAATAATAATAATAATAATAATAATAATAATAATAATAATAATAATATATTAATTGAAGTTGAAAAATATATACGGTTTCATATTGAAATGTGTTCGCAAAAACTTCGAATTGCCTCACCCCTTTCTAATATTTCTGTTTGCAGAAACTTTCGTATTTCTCATGAAAATATTTGTGATTTCTTTCACAAATAATTTTAATGTTGCAAATTTTTCTCTCTAAATAGTTACTGATATAAGACATATTTTCATTGTAATCTACGGGAACCACTGCATTCCCCATTCGTGAAATCTCGTACCTTCTTCTAGTACTAATATTAATGAAGATCCGAGGTACAAGTTGAACGAATAGGCGGGTGCAGTTATGGCATAATAAACACCCACTGAAATGGAGCCAATAAAAAGCTAGTATATATTAAACCGCAACAAGAATAAATAAAATGTTATGAAGGACTTGTCTTCTTCTCGTTGATGATAAGATGAATATCTGAAAGAAAGTTAATGAACAGAGATGTCAATGAACTTACATGCCTGCTAATTTATTTCAAATGCGCATTGCAAAAGCAAGTTCGTTATGTACCGCAAAGATGACTCGAGAAGCACATTGAGCCCAAGAGATGTGTTTGAAAACAAAAATCGGAGAGAATTCGACCTGAAGCTCAGCGGTCAAGACTACAAACATCACCAGTTGAAACCAAAGAACAGAAGTCGTTAAACCAGGTTTGCCCAGCTGCCTAGATTCAGGCAACGTGACCCGAAAAATGCCTGAGGCAATAAAGAGAACATTTCCTCCCCATTCCTTTTCCTTTCTTCGGGCAACTGCAAAGGAATCGCCATTTCGTTTGCGATACCACGAGCGATTTTGACGTCAGCTCTAGAATAATCTTAAATTAGTTGTGCTATAACATCACATACACATAACACGCCAGGCACGTTGCCTCTACACCACCAGTCTCACTGTCTCTCCGTCAGTCAGCCGCGAGTCTCTGACTCACGGTCCACTTTAACTTAAATGGTAAAAAGTCTTGTCATTTCTCGTATTGTTTATTGCAATTTATCAAAAATTCAGAGAGTTTAATGAAAATGAAACCTTCACTATTTTTAAGCGTTCCTTGACGGCCCTTTGGGGCCGTTTTTGTGAAGTTCATTAAAGTTGCAATTCATAAAAAGAGCTAAAACATTTCTCCAATAGTTTTTCTTTAATTGTTCGTCGTATAGGGAAAAGAACGATTATAGAATGGTGCGGGTAACATTTTCGGCGAATTCCCTGTATTTTCAAATATTACAAATAAAAAATTAACATTGCAAAACTATAACTATAATAATGCACGTTTTTCTTGATGAAATGTTTTCCTTAAAAGTAGATCTTGAAATAATGTAAATAAAAATCTCTGAATTTTTGCAAATTTCAAATGCACTTGTTCATCTCTTTTCCTAAATCGCCGGGAAGCTTTAGTATAGTTGTTATATTGGTGGTAGTGCATTAGGAGTACCATGAATGGCGTATTAATTCCAAAGATACGATTTCGAATCCCATCGCGGAGAAAATAATTTAAGAAAGTATTTGCTATAGTAGCGCTATTATGTTCTACAATAATATTTAACGAATGAGTTAACTTATTTGTGGTGTATATTTTTAAAAAGGTTGAAAACACCTGTTACAAGAAATGTACTTCAGTTCCCGGGTTAATGAGACTCATCTCGATCAGGATTGGTGTCCATGTTTCCTAATTTATTAACAATTACTGAGATGGCGCCTTGACCTGCTTGGTACATTTATGTCACTTCACCATGTGAACGTTCTGTTGATCTCCTTTTTGCTAGAGGTAGACGTGTAGCTGTTTGTGTGTGTGTATGTTGCCAGTTTTTTACAATACGATACATTAATTTTGTGTTAACAATATTGTAAAATTAAAGCGATAATTGTGTTACCGACCCAGAAAATATTTATTGCTCAAGAGCGAATATGTATAGTTTTCAAGTATTGGTTACTTCGCTTTCTGGTACTTTTATTCATCATTCAACTACTTATAGTGAAAGGGGGGGAAGAATTTCTGATTTTCAAGAATACGTGTGCAGGTTATACGTCTCTCCCATACGCCACCTACAGTTTTAATCTAATTTTCATTTAAATCTAAATAAACATATAAATCTAAATATTTGTAGGCATTCCAAATGCAGGGGTGTAGGAGAAACGTGGAATTTAAATCATGTGTTAATTGAAATTTCAAATTACCACACTTCGGGTAGGTGACAACCCATATATCGTCCTCTCGTACATCAAAGTTGGCAATCCCTTCCGCGAGAGGGCGGTATCCCTCAGTAACAACGCATCCCGATGGATATGCTTTCAAAGTTGCCAAGTAGAAATCTTTGTTCTTGCAGTTAGCGTTTATCTTCTCGGCCCAGGGGCTACTGTAATCTTCCAAAGTCACCGACATCCTGCAACAGAAGATATAAAAAGGAATGATTAGTGCGTCTGAAAATGTGCTCTCTTCTCCATTTCTGAAATATACCATTGTATAATCACGCCCATTGAAGAATAAAGAATTAAAATATGTTTACGGGATTGGTCAATGTGGTTAGAGAAACAATTAGTTACGCCAACGTCTCGAAATATATAATTTCTTCATCAGGGCTCACTAATAATCATGCATCCAATTACGTTTGGGCCTTGGCCCGACTCACAATTGTCTCGCGATGGACCCACGTGCTCCAGCCACTCCATGTGGAGTTGGGTGTGGTGGCTTGAAATGAGACGTTACCCGTATGATTATTCAATCAATAATCATGAAAGCACTGGAAAAGGAAACCTTTCACAAATTAACCCAAAAATTAAGTAATAAAAAATATTTGAAAAAATATTCTTCTTTCATATCTAATTTAGAACTGTAAATGTGATACTATTTCTTTTCGCCAGTCCATTGAATTTAACTTGTATTTAAATATCTTCGTATTAAAGCAACCATTGTTAATTTAAAAAACGCCTTTAGTCATGAATTCAGGTATTCAGGCATACAATACAACGTACATTGTTAAACCATGTCGTGAAAGAAATACCACAAAACCGAGTGAATCCCTTTAGCATCAGAGGTACCATCCGTGTGTTTCCCCGAAAACCGGAAAAAACTTCATCACTTAATTCCTTAGTGCAATCTGTCTTTGAGATTTCGACTAGCTAGAATGGGCCAAGTTCGGTCAATTGCTGTGATGAACGTTCCAAATTTCCGGAGTGTCCATTCCGAAGAAAGAGTGTACTTCAGAGAACTCAACCCATTAAATCCTTGAAGTCTAAAGATTGGAATTTGTACATTGTTTTCCTAAGAACTTGATGCATTTGATAACATGACATTCTAAAAGTACCATTAAATACATTGAAACCACGGTCTATAAATGTGATTTGAATAGCACAAATTTTCGAAAAATAAAATATTTGTATAATATATTAACGAATATCAGTTTTCATTATCGGATTGCTGAGTGCGATTTACGAGAGAAGATGAAAGTCACTTATACACTACACGTACTAAAAATTATATTCTATATTTTGGAACAATGCAATGTCAATATATTTTTTTCATTTAAAAGGAAATCGTTCATACTTTTAAAGCCTGTTAACCAATTAATCGAATTTTAGTAAACCAAAAGCTTCCACGGCGAGTTTTAAAATTCATGATTTTTTAAATTAAAACAATGTTTTGTGTGACGGAACGAAAACGAACGGAAGAGATTTATTCAGTTTTTAACTAAACCTGAATAAAAATGACGTTTTGATTTTCCAAGGTAAATGAAATTTATCCATTTGCGAGTTTATAGTCATTTTAATTTTTCTTTTTTTTACGAATTATCAGGTAGCTCTTTATTTTAATGAAGTGGGTTTAAATGGAAGAATTATTTGTATGAATCAACGATGCATTTTCCAATTTCTGGACACTCAGAATTATATTATACGAATCCTTATTGCAAAAATGGATACTATGTTCAGAGTTGAAATGGGTCTGTTGCATGTCTGTTGTTTTCCAAATTCAATGATTTGCTACATGTTCTCCGTTAGTTTGATACTCCTCTCTTACGTCCAGTGTAAAAAAGCATTTTCAGTATGGCGTAACACGTTGAAAATTATAGTTTAAGCATGAAATAAAATGTCCACAAAGTTGTAGGTAAAATGTGATTTTTCGAATTATCCGTACAATAGTACTAAACATTTATTTCTGTACGTAGAAATTATTGGAGATGACTAATTTCTCTTTATCTGGAATTGTAACCACTAAACGTGAGGAATACGCAATATTATCTGATTGGTAATGAAATTGTTTGTTCTAAAAAGACACATTGCGGGAAAAAGATCGCACATTTATTTTATCAGCCCATGAAACCCTTTTCGTTCAAACATGACTTCACCGCTTCGCCTTTTTGTCAGCAAGTGGATTGAACAACTGGAGTACACAAATCTTGTAAATTGGGATGCGTGCGTCAGTTGCTAAACACACTCATACTAACGCGCCGTATTTTAGAAACGACGCACTTTTCCATGCCTTGAGTTTAAAATAAAATATTGCACAATTCGGCATTAATTTATGATATTGAATAATTTATTGATAATTCGTCTTTCCTGTCCCGTCAACTGATATGGTCATTATTCCCGTAATGCATGTTTGCGGTGCATGCTTTGTCACGGGAGGTAGCTGTGATCTCTCCGTGCTGGATGGAGACATCTGGTGCCGACATCAAGTTGGCATGCGGGTTTTCCCAACCAGATATCTCCCACCAATGACGCACTGTCGTAGCCGGGCCAAGCTCTAAGCTCCCGATTGGTCTCCCGTAGTGAAGAACAAGTGTGTGCATAAGTGGAGAAGATAGGACAAAGAAGAGGAACGAAAGATCGCGCGCAGTCTGTATCACGTTTGTCAAGGTACTGCCCCTTACCCTGACATTCGTGTTGTGTTGATCGAAGAAACCAACTACCGATTAAAGCAGCCGCCCGCAAGAATTCTCCTCCCAACAGCGGCTGATTTCGGCTTAGTTATCCAGCTAGTGTCGAAAATCCTGCAACTATCGGGACTCACACCCTAGGACCTCCCGGTTAGAGGCACTTCAGTGTCATCAGTCGAGGCCCGGGCCCACCTCAGATGATGATACTGAATAAAATTGAGTCCCAATACAGATCTTAAAGAGGATGTCCGCGGAAGTAGGTATTTCCAATACGTTGAAAAAAAAAAGAATAAAATCTTGAAAATAATGTAATAAACTTTCAAGAAGTCTTATTTTCGCGCAAACATAAAATCTAAAGCGTCCTTTTCCAGGAACGTTATTTCACCTGCTGGGAGATGTTTGTTTTTGTGTACATTTTATAAACATTGCCAGTGAAGAAAAATAGGTTTGAGTGATTGAGAAAACTGGGATGTGGTTGTGTGTATCTAAAACATTGTTTCCGCTTATAAAAATAGTCAGTAAAGATGTAAAGAGGTGTTCTGTAGAAATTTGATCCTATGCGTGGACAAATAAATTCACTTTGACAATACAATGCGAATTCAATTATTTTCAAAATATAAAATTATTCGGAGTAATATTTTTGAAATGGAAGATCCGTGGCCTCCTGTCCGCTGTAGTTATTGGATATTTTCGACCATTTACGATTCTTTATTACCTGTAAGGATTCTTAATATTTGAAAGCTGACACGTTTCTTCTGAAGCAACAATACCGAAACTTTGTAACAGGCCATGAGATTTACGAATTCTTCAAGAAATATGAGTGACCTTAGTATTCTAGTTCCAAATAAAGGTTGCGTTAAGTAATTGTTCTGAAGAAGTGATATTCATTTGAATTGTACTTATTAGCGACATGATTTCGAGTTCTTGGGACCGGAAGAGGTAGCTCACAGCATCAACTGATGTCACTGTAGTGCCTGTGACCGGGAGGTCGTAGGTTCGAGTCATGACGGCGTAGCAAGGTTTTCGACAGTGGCTTGTCAGCTATATCGATTTCAGTAGGAGTCTGGAGGAGACTTCTGCTGCGGACGGCTGCTTTGATCGATAACTTTCTGTGGTTTCACCGATAAAGCCCAGGCGAATACCGGAGCAACATCCTAAGAAACAGGCCACGGATATCACGCGATATTTTCTTCCCCTTCCCTGTCCTATCCTCACCCCTTACTTACATTTACACTTACATGCCCTACGTGCCACACATGCCGCAAGACTGTTCGGGAGCTTAGAGCTTGTCCCGACTTGGGCCGTGCCTCGCTGGTGGGAGATACCTTATATGGGCGAAACCCCCTCTAGCCGACAGTATATCAGCGCGGGATCTCGCCATCCAGCGGGAAAATATCCCCACCACCTCTCGAGGAAATCACATGTACGACACTTACGGGACTAATGATCGAACCGTTGACGCGCCTGAAATCACCAACAATCAATCAATCAATCAATCGAGTTCTCGAAACTCTTAGTCCCATTGAAAACATTTGCCAAAAATCACTGCTCCTCCGCGATCTGCAAATCTCCTCCCACGCATGGGAGGTGACCCGCAGCTTCGTGGTCTGTGCGCTCGCGTCCACCTCAGGGCACCGGATTACAAATTAACTTCACTGGATGTGGACTTTGTGGCGAACAAAGCTGGTTAGTGGCAGATTTCCTCGGACATCTATTTCTGTTGGCTCTGGTTCCTCCCTGTTAATTTGTATCATGAGTCACCTATTCATCAACTCATTGACCATTCATGATACAGAAGAATCGGAAGAGCAAATGAAGAACTTTGCAATAAATGAATAAATAAATAATTTGATTTATAAATTCTTATCTAGCGGTTCAGCTTTCCAAAATCCCCTGCTAGGGTGCGTAGGTCACGGCACGGAGCCAAAAGAGAATGGGGCGGGCCGTGAGGGTGGGGGCGTCTGCGATTTCGGTGAAGGCTGGAGCTGCCGCCTCCGCCCATCTCGCCGTTTTATCCCTTAAGGAGGGCTCCGGGTTGGCTCACTGCCTGGAGATGGAATGAGCGCCGGAGTTTCGCTTCCTCCGGAATAAACGGAGGGAGTGAAACTCTGAGGACGGCGAGGACCGCCGGCCGGGGCCAGGGGCCGGAGGAGGAGGAGGAGGAGGAGGAGGAGGAGGAGGAGGGGAGGACGGAGTGCCGGGGACGGGACTCCTAACGCAGTCGGCGCAGGCACCCTTCGTATTGAACTTTGACGATCAGTTTTCGCCGCGGCGGAGTTCCTTGGCTGCTTCGGCTGCCGCGGGAGACCACTTGATGGAGATAGTGGGAAAGGAGCTCGCCGATGCAGCATAACACACGATCTCGGCATTGTAAAGCGTAATTAGATGGTTCTTAATAATTAGCAGGGTTAAATATTATATTGTTATTTGTAGTCAAGTTACGATGTTAACACAGTAAGCATATTATTAAAGTTAGTTATTATAAGTTAATAAATTACCGGACAAAGAAT